ATAGCTCCTGTCCTGCAAGTGCCCACCCTTGTACCCACATGCCCAGGGCTCCTTCCCTCCGAGGTCTCCCGGGAGACCCTCTGCGTCCACCCAGGATTGCCCCTCTACAGGTGACATCTTGCACGATAGATGCTCTATGCACATTCTGGTCCCTTGGCTACCCCTGGCTCTGCCCTCCAATCTTATCACATGCCATCAGGCCTGGCGCTGTCAGTCTTGTGGCTGTTTCCACATTCACCCAGCTACTTTCCTCTCCTCTGTCTGGAAGCTGATTAATTTGGGCTCATTGCTGGGGTGATTTAACGACCTCACACTCCATATCCACTCAGCACTTCTGACACCGTATTTCAGCACACCCTTTCCACGCCCTGCTTCAGGCTCTGGAGCCCAGCCTTGCTGCAGCCTCCGATGTCCACCAGGGGGCAGCTCTGCCCACGTTTCCTGGCAGCCCCAGGCGGCATCCTTCCCTTCACACCTGACAGGTCATCTTATTCCTCATCCCACCCTGTCACCCAAAACTCCACTTTCTTCGACTCACATTAACCCAGCACAGACACTCCTTTCCTGAGCCTCTGGCTGCATGCAGTCACCTGGTGAGCTTTAAAAACATACAGATGCCAAGGCTTCACCCCAAACCAATTAAATCAGACTCGCTGGGCATAGGAGCCCAGCGTGGGTCTTTTAAAAGCTGCCCCATTTATTAGTGATTCTAATAAATGTCCTGAGCTGACACACACTGGAACCCTTTCTCATACAGGCACCTATCTTCCAACTTCTGGAATATAATCCCCTAAAACTTCGTTCCCTACCCTCGGGCAGGGACCACTTTAAAAGAGGCAGAATCAAACAGAGCTAGTCAGAGAGTCCAAACCTCACCCATCCATACACAGCACGCCGCCCCAAGTGCGGGTGAGACGTGGGCTCTGCTCACTTTGCATGTCCAGATCTCTGTATGCAGGCATTTTTAATAGACAGAACTTTTGTCAGAAAAGAATATAGTAAACAAACAAGTGAATGTATGTATATACCCCAATCTTACAATTCTAGGAACAAGCGACCCCACAGAAGAAATAAAGTCAGCCTGGAAACCCATTCCCTCTTCCCCAGGGCTGACATCTGGCAGTGGCTTCCAGAATATTCTAGAATTTTTTGGAGACTGCATGGCTGAGTCTGATATGGAGACAGAATCTCTTCTTTCCCCCAGGATGCACCATCTCCCTTCACCCCAACCCAGAGAGATGTGGAGCAAGGAAGAGCTTACCCTCCAAGCACAAGGCAGAGGAAATGGGCCGCTACCAAGGGCCCGGCCCATCGTCACTGCTGTTTACATCGATTATTCCCGCTCGTACAGACGGGCCTTCATGTTTCCCCGTGTGCTCTCATGTGACAGTTGAGAAGCAGGTTTGAATCTCACTCTAACTTCTCTCATCTCTTAGCCCCTCAGTTTCCTCGTCCAGAAAATGGGGATAAGAAGAATATCTAACTCATCCGGTTGTTGTGAGGATTTAACGAAACAAGGTGGGGAAAGCACGTAATGTCTGGGACAATGGTAAGGACTCAATAATGCCAGTAATAACAACACTTCAATTAAACTAGCATTTTGGAAAAATATTATTACTATTTTATAAATGAGTAATTTGGGGTCAGAGCTTGGATTGCTGGCAAGGAAACAAAGGTGAAAAGTAGGTGGTGTCTGACTTTTCACGTCCACACTGGGTTCTCATTAGACATTAGACAGTAGACCTCAGACACATCCAGGGGTCACTTTGGTCGGCCCAGCAAGGCTGTGCGTCTCAGCTGTCCGCCTGGGACTCTTAAGCTCTGCGTGCGCTGCTGCCCACTCCACCGAGGGCAGCCCAGGGGCCTGGGGAGGATGCCCCTCCCTGGGAAGGCTCCCCGCTCTTCCTTTTACAGATGAGGAGGCTGAGAGAAGGGAAGTGACTTGGCCTCTGTCATGCCTGGTGGGTGTCAGAGCCAGACCTAAGATCCAGGTCCTTGACATCCAATCCAATAAACCTTTCCATTCCACCCTGAGAATGTCTAACTTCAGACCTGGAGGCCTCTATTAATGACACCCTTTCCCTCCAAGCCCCCACCCCCAACACACACACACAGGCCTCTGACTGAAGCTGGGGGAGGGGCAGGGACTGGCTCATTGGGGTAGCTTTGCATCTTTTGATGCGCCATTCCTGCCTACATCCACGTGAGGAGAGGAAATGACGAGGAAGGGTGGCAACGTAGTGAAGCAAGCGTGCTGGAGTCCAGAGGGGCTCGGGTCTGAATTCTGGCCTCTGTGCCTCACGTGCCTCATCTGGAAAGTGGGAACAGTAATGGCACCTCGCTCATCGGGTGTTCTGAGGATCCCTCGGGAACATACATGAACTACCTCTGGAGGAAACCAAAGGAAACGGGTTACCACTGGAGGGGCTGCTGGTCTGTAGTGGGGAGACTCAGGTTTTATCCTTTTGAACTCAGGTATGTGAATCTACCCATTCAAAAAGTACTTTTTTATGAGTGAATTTTGGGGTTTTTTTAGAACAGTACCTGGTATACTCAAATATTGGTTATTTTTATAAAGAAGGTTTGATACAGGGCCCCCACCTGACCTCACACTATCCCAGCTTCAAGTCAAAGTAAAGGCTTGACACTCAAGAGGCAGGTGGTGAACGTAGAGGTCCTAGATGGAGACCTGGGTCCCTGTGTCCCCAACTTATTAGCTGTGTGGCCTTGGGCAATTTGCTGTGCCTCAGTTTCCTCAGTCATAAAAGGAGGCTAATAGTCTCTACCCCACCAGTTGTCACCAGTATTTAATGGAATAAGAGCTGAAACCAAGTGAGCACTGCACAGGTGCCAGGCACTGCTTGGAACACATTACACATGTGGCTCATCGCATCTGCAGGTGCCACTATCATCCCCATTTTACAGATGAGGAACTGGAGGCTCTAGGGGGTGAAGGAACTTGTCTGCAGTCACTCAGCTGGTAACTGGTGAAACCAGGATGTGCACCCAAGCAGTCTGGTTCCAGAGTCGGTGTCCCTAACCACTGCACCTCCCTGCCTCTCCTGTGCACGTCGCATATTTAGAACACCTAGCACAGGGAAACTGCTCTGTAACTTATAGCTGTGATTACCATTAATACATGCTAAGACTTTTCCTAGGCCACTTGGTAACACATTTTGGGGCAGGGCTATTTGACAACTCACAAACACCTTCTGGGGGCAGCGTTTAGGCAAAGAACTCGTGGTGCTCAAAGAGTGGGAGAGAGTCTTGCCTGGGTTCTCCCACATCCACAAATTCCATAGCCAGTCCTCACGGTCCTGGGGCAATCAACTTGCTCCTCACCCGAGCCCCTCCTTGCTGGTTCTGGGGCTTCAGACACCGCCCTATAGACAACCCCCAGGCAACTTCGAGAAGCCCAGCAGCCACCCGCTAAGGCATTTGCAGCAATGGCTCCCGCCCACCACCACAGCCAGGCAGGTTCTAGGACAGCTCACTGCAAGAGACAAGCTCCTCCTCCCTTCTGTGGATAGTGCAGATGTGGGGCCTACCAACGGGGGACCTTTTCAGCCCTCTACCCCACCACAGCTGCTTGTAATGGCCAAATTTGCGCCGATGAAGGTCAGGCAGGAGTGATCCCCACATATCAACTGGATTGGGCCTTAGCTTACACACAAACAAACTCACACGCAAAGACTCAGAATCAACACCCAGCCTTACCCCACTGGAACCCAATTGGATGGGGGGTGGTGAATCCAGGCCACCATGGATAATGCCCCAAACAGATAATCTGCTTACGACTAATTGAGCTTATTGTTAGTGTCAATGTCTAAAGCTATTGGCTGAAACTCCAAATAGATTTCCCAGGGAGAGGAAGGCTCCTCTGGAAAAGCAGCTCGCGCCTCATTTCCCATTCTCTGGTTCTCAGTGAGAGAGCACAAAGCAACCACACACCTTATTTGGTTCCTTCTCTAGCCCCACTCCCTACCTCCCAACACACATCACACCTGAAGACACGAGGGATCGTGACCAGGAGGAGACGCCGGACCCTCGCCCGCCCTCATTTCCCAGCCCCAGCGTGAACTGCTCGGGACCACTCAGGTGATAGCAGCAGCTTCCACTGAAGGTTGCGATCCAGCTGAGGCAAATCCAGATCTTCTGGAAATGTTCCTCCTACCCCACTCACTTCCTCCTCCTCGGGAGGCCCTGCCTAGATAATCATCAGACTTCATCTTCTCCCAGAGAAACGATTAAGCAGCCCCACTCCTGCCCAGCTAGGGGGCTCTGGACTTGAGAAGGTCCTGCTGCTAATGACAAAAGGCCCTGTACCCACCGCAGCTGAGGACATCCCAGTCCAGTCCCATGCCTGGTTACCCACAAAACTCTCCAGGAGAGGAGGAGAGCTTAATGAGCCGCACCTGCAGGCAAGGTGCCGGCCACATCCTGAGGCGGACCCAGGAGGTGTACAGGAGCAGGAGGGCAGGGCAGGGCCAGCTGTTTGGTTGTGAGAAGGAAGGAGGCTGGGTGGATGCAGGTGGTGGGGAGTGGGTAGGAAGGAGGGAGCAATCTCTTCCTCATGGGGAGCGGGGTGGAGAGAAAGGAAACAGACTAGGATCAGGGCTAGAAGCCACTCTGGGGCCACCTCTGGCCTTGGAGCAGACATTTAGCTGTACCTAGGGGACATCTGCCGTAATAGAGCCTCTGCTCAGAACCTGGGACCCACGCAGAGCTCCTTCTTGCACCAGGGCCCCTCAGGGTCTGTCTGACCTGCTCTTCAGGGAGCCTACAGTCTGGAATGTCAGGCCAGGCCACGTCCGCTGAGTCTCCTGTCCCCCAGCAGTGCACATGGTGGCTGTTCAGCAAATACCTGTCAGCTTAAATGAACTGTTCTTCTTGAGAGCACATGCTCATAGCAGGGGGTGGAAGATGGGTATCCAGGAGCCTGGGCAGTCGATGTCCCCAAGAGCAGGGAAAGGGTGAGAGAAGACTCAGGGCTCCATTACCTGTATCCTGTCCTCTGGCAGCTCCGTTTTCATGGCCAGCATCTCCCGGGCATAGACGTCTGGGTAGTGGGCCTCGTTGAACGCCTTTTCCAGCTCCTCTAGCTGGTAGGAGGTAAAGATTGTCCTGAAGGGAGCAAAACCAGATGCTCAGGACCCAGAAACCGAAAGAGTCTGTCCCAGAGAGGACAGAATGGTCCTCCCCTCTGCCTCCTGGACAGACCCCAAACCCAGGCTGGCTGAGCACAATCGGACACAACCTCTCTCTCACACGCACACATACCCACACACACTTACACACGTTTACACACACACCCAGGTAAATAAACGCCTCGGCCCCACTGGGACCTCCTTCCCGGCTCCTCTCACAGACAGCAGAGTTGATTTTTTTTTTTTCTGCTTTATCTCCCCAAACCCACCCTGTACACAATTGTATATCTTAGTTACAGGTCCTTCTAGTTGTGGGATGAGTTGATTTTTTAAATTGCACTCAAGCTTCCAAGACTCCCCAGAAGGTCAAATGCAGGAGGAACCTCAGTGTTTGTGCAGCTAAGAACTGAATCTTTCACCCCCTCAACCCACCCAACACCCTGCCGTCCTCTCCTGCCCAGAACTACCAGCTCCTTAGAGCTGCCCTCAGGGTCTTGGGGGCCAGGAAGATGGGTGGGGGGGGTGGGTAGGGGAGGGCACCCTGTCCCTTCCTGTGCTCAGAAGGCAAGGGCCACCTTCCAACCATCCACACACAGGCTCAGCTTCTCACCCAGAGCGGGGCCCAGTTCAGAGGAGTTCCATTCAGGTCACCCTGAGAGAGCCAACATACACAGCCCCCACCCCCACAGAGCAGGTCACATTGACCCATCTGGGGTCATAAACCTTTTTAAGAACCTGGTAAAAATTACATCCTCTCACCCTAGGAAAATGTGCCAATGAATATGCTCCAACATGTACAACTTTGCCTCCAATATTAGGGGGTCCATAGACCCCCTTTCTTGAATAAACACACTACACATCTACATATGGACGCAAGTTCTTCTCTTTTCAGAGCTCAGTCTCACCAAGTTCTAGGTGACTTTATCCTGCTCCTTCACCAACAAGCCAACAGGCAATATGGTCCAGATCCCACAAACCCAACTTGTACAGACGGTGCATTCCCTGTGTGAGCCTGGGGGACTTGGACCCTGGGCCCAGCACAGGGGTTAGAATCCCTCAGTGACGCCTTGACCCTCACCTAACACGAGGGAAAAGTACCAAGTGAAGCCCCTGTGTTCCCTGTGCTGCTGTCGGGGGATGATGCAGGGGAGGTGTGAGGGAGAACGATTCTGCTCTTTATAGAAAATGACTGGTTTGATTCTAAATCGTTTCTCCTATTCTCTTGGGGGGATGGAATGCTTATGGATACAGAAAGTTAATTCTGCAAAATTTTGAAGATCTGCTGCTTTCTATTTCCCTGCTGCCACTTACGGAAGGGGCCCTGAACAGATTGTCAAAAGAAACAATCAAAACAGGCAGGTTATTTTCAAAATGAGGGAAACTGAGGCACAGAGGTGTGGCCTGGTCAAAGCCAAAGAGGAGAGCTGGTGAGAGGTCATTTGGGATCATTCGAGTGCCAGCCTCTGCCTGGAAGAGCTCTCATTCAAAAAACCAAACAAGGGGCTGGCCCGGTGGCCAAGTGGTTAAGTTTGCGCGCTCCGCTCGCTGCAGGCAGCGCGGGGGTTTCGTTGGTTCGAATCCTGGGCGTGGACATGGCACTGCTCATCAAACCACGCTGAGGCAGCATCCCACATGCCACAACTAGAAGGACCCACAACGAAGAATATACAACTATGTACGGGGCGGGGGGGCTTTGGGGAGAAAAAGGAAAAAATAAAATCTTGAACAAACAAACAAACAAACCGAAAGTCCTCCCAACTCCCCCTCATTCTGGCCTCAGTGCTAACCCGCGTGTTGAAGCTGACATGCTCTCCAGGGAGCATCCCTGCGCCCCCACAGTGTGACCCAAACCCTGCTCCTGGCTTTATGCAGAGCCCCAGATCCCTCAGGTTCCCACTGTACCCTGTCTGCAGAGGAGCTGGGATTTCCAAGGAAAGAGCAAATTCCCAGAGACTCCCAAGGTGGCTGCTCCATCCCCACTCGCTTCTCCAACCTCTGCTAAGCCCGCTTTATTTATGCGTGATGAAGAGATGCCCATCTCTCATCACTAGATTCCAAGACCTCTTACCTGAAATCCCCAAATGAGAGAAGCTCAGAAAAACACATTTTTTACTAATTAAAAACTGCACCCACAATCAGTAGCCATTCTCCTGTCTCCAAAAACGTGCTCCCTTCATGAAGCAGAAATAGCCAGAAACCTAGGGCAAGTGGCAGTTGCTGTCCTGTCTCCCTGGGAACCCTCCAAAGCTCCCAAAGATTTCGCTGGTGGAGAGGGTGTCAGGTGAGGGCAGAGAGTCAGAAACCTTAAGCAGGGACTTGGGCTATGGGTCAGCCAGCTCCAGGTGCCACACAAGGAGATGGCCTGGTGCACAAACTCTGGTCTGGGACCCAAGGTTTGGGGGATGTTTTTACAGGGTTCCCTTTGGTTTGGGAACCCCTGCCCCCATTCCCGCACCGGCTAGAAGCGGTACAGCCAGACTCCAACCCGCCCTCCCTCCGCGGTCCTGGTGTCCGTCCCTGCTGCGGAAGCTGACAGCGCTACCCACCCCGGGAGCAGCATGAGATGGATGCATAAGAGGTGTTTTAATGAATATTTGTTGAATGAATAAATATTAAAAAAATGACCCAGGGTCAGGACTAAAAACAATATTTCCGTTTAAAATAAAACAAACTAAACAAAAATAAACAGCTGCCTGAAGGGAATGAGCCGAGGTTATCGAGAAACCAAGTCAAAGTTCACCCTCATTCAAGCCGGAACCTGTTGGGGCCTGAGAGGTCGGAAAGAGCCGTTTTAAGAGGTGAGGGTCAATAGTGGAGTTTCCGAGGGCTGAGGAAGAGGGAAACGCAGAGAAGCACCCAGAGATGGGGTGCGCAAAGATGCTGAGAACAGAGCGAGGAGAAGGGGAGGAGGTGGGGCGGGGAGGGGAGGCGGAGAGCTCCCCGGGGAGAAACGTCCCCAGAGCGCGCGGGCAGACCGCGGGCGCCCCCGGGACGGGGCGGAGAGAGGGAGACTTGGGGAAGCAGCCGGGCGAGCGCAGGGACGGCGCCTGGAAGCAGCGCTCCAAGAAAGGCCGGTAGATTTGTGGTTCTCGCTCCCTTATAAAAACCTCCTCGGGAATTTACACAAGGAACTGGTAGCCGTGGCGCCGATGCCGATGCCGAAGAAAGTGCAGGTCTGGGGTGGGGGAATTACTTTTCAGCATCTACCTTTCGGCGCCTACTGAGTTTTCACTTTGTCCAAGAAATGCCTATTTTGAAGACATATCTTTTAAAACTCTGTCTTGGGTCTGTACCTCAATGCAGCCCACTCCGCTCCAGCTAGGGCTGGTGGGGTCATCCTGTCCACACACTCCCTCCTCCCCATTTTACAGACAAGGAAACTGAGGCTCATGGAAGGGAAGAGACCCTCTCAGGATCACAGAAGAGTAGAAGCCTAACGAAAATTTTCCATCGATGTAGACACCACGTTCAAGATTTGGGGGGAACGGTGGCAGCAGAAAGATAGGGGTTAGCAGAGCGGACAGGGACCTCGGGAGAGGAATAGGGGCCTGGGGGCAGAGAGCAGAGGACCCGGCTCGGGCGGGAGGTGGGAGCCGATCTGCCTGCCGTGAGGCGTGCGTGGCTTTCCAAAAGGGCTGACGCAGGGAACGCATCTGGGGGCCGCCTGGCCCTCTCTGGCTCGTGTTTGGCCCTGGTTGGGGCCTTGCCTTCCCCGGCAGAAGGAGAAAGCCCGAACGCTGCCGCTTCCTCGGCGGCCGCTCATCCTCCTCATCCGGCGCGGCCAGACGCCAGGGCCCGGGCAGATGTCCCCAAACAACGCCCGGTCTCCTCGCCCTGGCGCAGCCTGGGACCTCAAATTAGGAGTCGGCGAAAACAGGGTCCAAGCGACCCGACTCCCAAATGGGACGGCAGGGGGTAGGTGACCAGGAGAGGCAACAGAAAGCGCCGCAGGGCCTTACCTGTGTCTCCGCTTCTTCCGTTTCTTGGTCTGGTTTAAAGCCGATTTCGACATTTTTCGGTCGCTGGAGGAAACATCTTCAGAATCTGAAAAGCGGGCGGAGGCACATGCGGCAGAATTGGGGGCGCGCTCGGCACTGCCCGGGCGCGTCTGGCTCCTGAAACCCGCGAGGGCCCCACCCAGGGCCGCCTCCACGAGCGCCGGGGCCTGCCCTGCCTCCCCGGCAGGCTCTCGCGGAGGTCGACCTCATCCTCAAGCCCCGGCTGCCTCTACCCAAGCCGGCGCCCGAATCCGCGGGTTTTGAAGAGATTTCGTTGTAAGAGAGGCAAAGGCCCCGACACGCTTGGGGCAGAGACCGCAGGAGAGGTGGCAGCCTCGCGGGGTCGCAGGAACCCCCGGCGGCGCTCTGGGCTCTGTGCCCTGCCCTGCGCTTGCAGCCCTGGCGCCCCTGGACCGAAAGTTGTCCCCAAAGAACGGAGCCGGGCTCCAGGAAGGGCTGGGGGCTCCCGGCACAGCCCCTTTTTCAGTGCTGGCACAATGCGCCCCCGCTCGAGATTGGAGAGACTGCGACGCGCCACTTTTCGTTGCCCCTCCAAATAAAAATAAATAAATAAATAAATAAGTAAAAACGATAACGAAAAATCGGGGGAATCGCGGAGCACGAACCAGAGGCGGAGGGCCGAGCGGGCGGGGACGCACGGCCGGGAAAGCGGCCCGGGGAGGGTGCGGCGGGGTCATCCAAGGGCCCCAGAGCCAGTGAGGCGCCGAGATCCGATATCTGGTGGCGCTTAGGTGGGATCTGGCTGTCCAAGCTCGTGGAGTGGAAAACAAACCCCAGCTGACCAACGCGGGGCGTTTGGAATGGAGAAAAGGAGGAAGGAAAAGACAACTTTGGACACCAGGGCTGAGGACGAAGCCTGCACCCGCTTCCCCGGCCGCCAGCGCGCGGACCAGAATCCGCCTCCAGGGGCGCAGGTCCTCCGGGCGGCCCGGACCTCAGTGGAGCAGCAGAGCTGGGGCCCCCAGCCCGCCCTACGGGCTCCGACACCGCCCCGTGGACTCCGACACCCTAAGCCGGGTTTCCACTGGTGGCCCAGCCGGGCGCCGCGGCAGAGCCGGCCCGACGCGGGGATCGAAGAACAGCGCGGCGGCCAGAAACGCTGGGGCCGAAACCCGGCGGGTGCGGGCAGCATCCTCCCAGCCACTGGCCTAGGGGCGCCGGCCCCAGGCCCGGGCAGCGACCCCTCGGCCTGGCACGAACTTTTGCGCCAGGAAGAGGCCTGGCCGTGCAAGCGAGAGCCGACGGCGTGGGGTTCCTGGCTTTCGCCCCCGGTCAGGCATCCACGCAGCCTCGCCCTCACCTACCCGAGCTGGCCGTCTGGCTGGTGTCCAGCGGCCCCGACGCTCTGCCCAACGGCTGTAAATGGACGCTCTGCGGGTCGGACAGCACTTCCAGGAAGGTGGGCTGCGCGTAGAAGCCGGGGAGCCCCCCAGGCCCCAGCAGCCCCATGCCGCCCACTCCTGCGGGACTGAGCACGGAGCGCGCAGCCAGCAAGTGCCCGGGGGCCAGGCCGTCGAGGGCAGCCCGCGGGTGGGAGCTGGGGGGCTCCTTGTTCAAGCCCAGGATCTCCTGGATGCCAAACCCGGTGCACCTGGCCGGGGCGCTCCCCGAGGTACTCTTGGCCACTGTCTCAGGTTTGGGCTTGCTCAGCGCTTCCCCGGCTTTCCCCGTCATCTCTCTGTTCTTTGGAGGGGCCGAGGCCGCAGGTCTTTTGCTCCCCCCACCCCCCCGCCGGGCTCCTTGCTTCGTGAAGTTGGTCCCAGGTGCCCCCTCCGGTGTCTAATGCTCTGGAGCCCCAAGGAGATTCCCCTTTTATCCAACCAGGCTGCAGCCCAAGTGGGGTCAGAGCTGAGCAGCCAATCACCGGGGCCAGGAGCGATTAGGAATTCCAAAAAGCTGGCAGCTCCCGGCCGCACGCAGCACCGAGGGGCCAGGGCGCTGGGAGCCAGGCACTGGGTGGGCTCTGCAGGATGCCCAAGGGCAGGGACCCCTGAGGCTGAGATGAGACAATAGGGCTGTTCCAAGAGGCAGGGTAGTTTGGGATTCTGGGCAAAGCATAGCTGGGACACGTCCCTGGGGTGGGGTGGGAGGATGGGCTGAGGGCAGAGCTAGAGACTGGAAGTCCTCCTCCCTCTCTCAACTCCTGTGCCAGTTGGCAGGGTCGAAGGAGCCCAAATATGGGACCCCCGTGTAAAAAGCAGAACAGGAGAGGGGCACGTGCTCTGGGCAGGCTGTGTGGTGGCATTGGAGAGAAAAGAAGGGGACAGGGTGCAAAGAGGGTGATGTAGGGGTGGGGAAAGCTCAAGGTTTGTCTCCCAGCACAGGACACAGTGCCTAGTTCAGAAGAGTTAATCCATATCAGCACAATGTCATGGGAGTGGGGGTCCCTCGTGGTAAAGAAGAGCAGTGGTGACTTCTTTTGGAGAACAACCATGGGACATCTGAACATCTTCGTGGAGTAAGCATGAAGTGTGCCCGACTTCCACAGAAAGGTTCCATTTATTCTTCTATCCATTCATCCAACTAATATCTTCGAGCACCTCTGAGCTAGGGGTTCCTCAGTAAGTCAAATAGACAAGGCAACGGGTCTGCTATACCTCAGAGTTCACTGGGCAAACGAATGAAGAGGATGGGATTGTCGATGGAGGGGCAGGGGGGAGGGTGTGAGAAGTGACTGAAAGGCGAGCTTCCTTGCCCAGTTGATGGGGGTCCCCTAGCTAACTCCTGTGTTGGAAGCTGCAGAATTGCAGCCAACTGGGCCAGTGGAAAAGCAGTGAGAGGTGGCAGGAAACTAGGCAGAAAAGCCTGAATTCCAAAGGTGGGCAGTGAAGCTACTGGCTTCCTGCTTGAGGGCCCTGTGGGGAGGGTGGCCCCCTTGGGCCCAAGTGTCAAGTGAAAGTGATTCTGCACAGACACACACACACACCCCGAGTCCCTGCACTCTACTACCTCAGCTAACTCGTCTGTGACCCTCTGGGGGCTGGGGACTGTATTATCCACCTTGGCACTCCCCTCTCCATTGTGCCTAGTATACAGTAGGCTTTTAATAAATGTTTCTTGACTTGAAGGCACCCTACGAGAGGAGATAACGACAAGGTCAATTGCTTTAGGAAGAGCCTGGAAAACCAAGCTGGGAGAAAGCCTGTTCAGGATTTCTTGGCCAGTCAGCTGCAAACCCCCAAATGGACTGAAACCTTACTAACCCCAGCCCACTGCCAAGGTCTAGTACCCTCTGTGGTCACTATGGGGCCAAACTGAGAAGTAAGAGGAAATCCTATAGGATATAGGAATTGAGGCCTTGCTAACAGGGCTGTTGTGAGGTGGGTCTCACTCGCTCTGGCCTGATCCACACAAAAAACAGAATTAGGCAGGGGCATCTTACAGTGCCCAAGGTGTCTGGGAGAGATGTACTATTTACTCCAAGGGCTGCATCCTATCCCATAATAATGCCATGCCTACTGTGCACCCACGCTGTCACAGCCCCTTAATACAGCATCATCTCTGGTCCTCACAAGGACCCTGTTAGCACCCTCGTTCCACATCTGAAAGTTGATGCAGGCATTCTTACCTGCAAGATGCAGACTCAGGGATATGCAACCTCAAGGCAGCCTTCACCTTGTGTCCTATGGAGGTGGGTTCCATGTGGCACCACTCATATAGACAACAACATGAGTGGTACCCCCTGGAGTAGTGCAAAGTAGTGGCTTTGCCTTCCAGGTAAGAATTTCTATCCCCATTTCATGAACATGAAAACTTAGGTTCCCGGGGAGGTTAGGTAACATGTCCCAAGCTACCTAGCTAGCAAGCAGCAGAGGCCAGACTCAACCTCAAATGAGTCTAGTGTCAAAGGCTGTTCTCTTTTGACTCCATCCTTCTCTCAGCCTCCTCTCCATGCCAACCTACCCTGGAAGGATGAATGCAGATATTATGTTAATGGCATCTGTCATGTCCCTGACTTATCACGGGACATCCATGATGAGCCAGATGCCAGCTGATGGGCAAAGATGTGAGTGATGGAAAACAAGCACGTGAGTGATGGAAGCTCAGCTCTTGCCAGGAAATGAGGATGAAAAATCTCTTGACCGAACCTAGTGTCTGATGCTGCCATTTCTCTCTCCCAGAGAGATAGTCACCATCCTGCCCTAGGAGGTTGAGGATGGGAGCAGCGCCAGGCCCTCTGAGAGAGACCTTTGCCAGGGGCTTATAGGTGGAGGGAGGACCCAACATCAGCCCACAGCCAGTCCCACCCTCAGAACTGGACTCCTGACAGACTCCTGGCTAGGGGGCTGTCTCTGAGCTTTGGGGTGTCATTAGTAATGATCCACAGCTGCCCAACTTAGTCCAGACCCAGACTCAAGACATTTGTGGGCCTAGTGGGGAGCCCTACAGGGAAAGGCTGGCCCCAGAGCTTAGGCTAGGGGTGGGGGGAGTGAAGCACACCCTTTCAGAGGCATTTAGCTCATTCACATTGGATCCAAATGCTGAGTCTGTTGCCTCACAGCTCTGTGGCTTTGAGCCAATCATTGAACTTCTCTCTTAGCTTCTATTGCTTTACCTAAAACAGCCTGATACTGGACTTGTGAGCATTCCCTGACCCCTGAGTTAGCGTAGGGGTCAAGAGCATGGACTCTAGAGCCAGACTGCCTGGGTTCAGACTCCTGCTCTATCACTTGTTTGGTGACCATGGGAAAGTTACCCAACTTCTGTCTTCTGTGCCTCAGTTTCCTCACCCATAAAATGGGGATAGTGGTAGTGTCTACCCCTCAGAAGTGTCACAAAGATTAGAAATATACAGTGCTGTAAAAAGCGAATAAAACTATACCATGAGTGTACAAAAAAAGGCTACAAAACTGGGTTCCTTGAGCATTGGTTATTATCTCCATCATGCAGAAGGACACTATACTGGGCAGTGGCAATAGGGTAGGCAACAAGACAAATCTAGTCCCAGCATTCACAGGATTTGGGCCAGTGATTGAAGAAGGTGATGTCTGTAAACCATTTAGCATGGTGCCTGGCCCTGGGGACTGAATCCGTCATGGCTCTTACTACTGTTAATAATGGATGCCAGACCTCTTATCACGTTTAATCCACTCAACTTCTCTGAGAGGTCAGGAGTTCTGTCCCCCTTGTCAAGATTAGGGATAAGGGAGGATGACATCGCCCTCTTTTTCCTTGGTGCTGGTCATGTTTAGCACCAGCTACAGCCAAGCCATTCTCCCTTGCTAGCTGCCTCCCAGAGTCCCTACCCAGCCATCAGCAGCAATTTTTGGAGGGAGGAGGGTGGAAAATGCAAGGAAGAGAAAGGATCTGTGTTAGAATCAATAATCCCATTATGAATCTGTCACCCATGAATGTCTTTCACTTTTTTTAATGCTCTGGTGTATTTTGGGCTTACCCCTTGAGGGTAAACCTTATCTTTTCTTGTTCTAGACAATTCTCCTGAGAGAGTCCGGAGCGTCCCAAAGGCCCTGCTCTCTCACCCTCTTGTCATCAGACGTTGCACCAGATACTCCATTCCCTTTGTTCAGTAAAGGGGCTGACCCTAGGAGAAAAACAAGGGGGATTCTGACTCACGTTTAACTTGCACACAATGAACACTTATTAAGTTCTGGACTTTTTGGCATTGTCTCAATGAATCCTCCCAACTACCCTGAAAGAAGTGTACCATTTTTCAAATGAGGAAGCAACGTCAGGGAGACTAGATGACCACCCCAGGAACACGCAGCTGCCAAGGGCCACACAGAGTCCAAATCTGCTGCATTCTTCTTTTCTTGAAGATGGAATCAGAGCCTCAAGCAAAGGAAGGGACCTTGGATATGGGGAGGCAAATGATGCCCCACTGTGCTTGGGCAACCATCCTCCGCCACCAAGAATCAGGGAGAAGAAAGGAAGGGGCACCAGAAGGGGTTGAGAAGAGCCGCTGAAGGCAAGGCTGGTGAGTCCTCAGAACCCAGACCTGCTAAGAGCATCTTACCCTAAACACCTGACCTGTTTCCTTCTCCTAGTTCTCTAGGGAATAATCCATCCCTTTGCACTTTTCTTGGAGGGCCCCAGGAGTGGGAAGGAAGGAGCAGACTCTTGGCAATGCCTTCAAGCCAGCCTTGTAGAAGGCCCTGACTTCTGTCAGTCACCTTCCAGGTGCCACCTATAGCTCCCCCAAGGATCTCATCCCAGAAGAACACCACCCACCAGGTTTCAGCTGCCCACACCCCATGGGCACTCCTTCCCTCAGCATTAACCCTTCCTTAGCCTCTCAAGGGAAAAGAAAAACATCCCACATGTGTTGTCCTTGTCTCTTGCCCCGTGTTCAGCCATGGAGAAAGCAGCCTTAGAGGACTTACTCCATTACCAGCCTGCTGTGTGCCTCCGGGCTCTGTCTCAGCTTCCCTTCAGTCTCAGGTGGTGGAATGACCACATCCCTGATGCCCCAAGAGAGCTTTTGTTCTGTTTTACCCCACAGGACTGTTCTAAGACAATTCAGTCAAGGATCTTCAACAAGTATTATTGAGCACCTAATGTGCCAGAGACTGTTCTTGTTGCTGGGGGAAAAGAAAACAAAGCCCTGGGGCCGGCCCCATGGCCAAGTGGTTAGGTTCACGTGCTCCACTTTGGCGGCCCAGGGTTCGGATCCTGGGCGCGGACATGGCACCGCTCATCAGGCCATGCTGAGGCGGCGTCCCACATAGCACAACCAAAGG